AAACTGTCGCAATAAAACCAGCCTTTTAAGATACTCAAACAACTAAGTGACCTTCAATCAGTCAATAAATCAAACTTTTTACGATAAAAGCTTCCCAAAATGGCCATAACAACTCATTGTCCCATAAAACATGAACAAAATCAAGTCTGATCAAGTCTTTCAAAGAATTTTACCGATAACAACTCTGTTTAAAAATGTAAAACAGCACAAACCTCGTTCATGACAATCAAATTAATTTGAAATGACAATTTTGCGACTCTCGTGCTTAAAACAATGCAAACAAGATGAAAACATTCGAAGTTAAGTTCAGTTTATTTTCGGGCTATAATGGCATTGTGTATCTTAAAGAAGTTTGAGGCGCATACATAAAATTTATTATTAAGCATATACAAAAGGTTTATGCCTGTTTATGCTAATGATCATATGTAGGAAATATTAAGTTTGTGGTTAAAATTTTTAACGGTTCTTTAAGCATCAAAACCTAACCGTTAATTCCTTGTTTTATCCTTTGTTAAACTCTGAATAACCTCGTAAAGAGAACATGTGCTTTAGTAACTTAATTAAAGGCATTTTGCACGCTTACAATATGACTTAAATAACTTCACGAGTAAGTTGTACATGGGAAAATTTAATTGGAGTAGCTTGTAAGATTCTTGGGCCACCCAAAGTGAAACTACTAATCCGATTTGTGTAGTGAAAAGTCCGTTAAAGTAAATTATTCACATTCTTATTAATATCACATTCTAAAACATTGTAAAGAAGAAAAAAGGAGAGGAAGTTTATATGAAATAAAACAGACATTGTTTACGCAAATTTCGGAACAATCTTTTAGATTACAAATGAGCTCTTTGCCTCAAAGAGAACGGCAGAGTCGAGTTTTAATTAATAAATTTTATATAATGTTTACTTATGATGTTTTTTTCGCAAACAAAATAATCTTTGACTTAATGCTTTTATCATTTTGGCTGGAATGTAAATATAGTCTGCCTAGTTTTCTGTTTTAATATTTATGAGATTAATTATTAAGATTCGAAAATAATTGGCGGGAAAATTTTTGTTTTTGCTCACTTGGAAACTTTGTTTGGTGATATTTTGATTAAATTGGCTGTTTTGTGCTTATAAAATGATCAAAACGATTAGATTAGACGTGAGCAAAGACATTTTCGTTACTTTTTGATCTTCATTTGGTAGAAAAACAACAATTTTGAGAAATTTTAATTTTCAAAAGAATAGTTTGTTTACATTAATGAAAAATTATGCAAAACTTTGTTTGAACATCGGCTTCTTTTGTTATTAATCAATAAAATTTAAGTTCTAATATTAAATTCACAGTTAGACTAAAAACTATTGCCAAAAACTCATTGAATTTCATCACTATTGACACGTTAACTATGGAATTCATCTCTACAAGACCTTTCATAAGCAATTTTCGACATTTACTGAAATTACTCATATTCAGCATCTCAATAATGATTTGTATTCGGTCATCACCATTCTTTATAAGAATTGAAGCATCATCAAGATCTCTTGGCATGTAGATACTTAAAGTAGTCAGTCAATAAGTAGTCAGCCATTCAGTTTTGTTAAAATGACATTAAAATCTACTGTAAATATTATCTCCACTTCAAATCTTTAACTTTTCTCCACACTTTTGAAGAGCTTAGTTCATTTACATTTTGCAAATGTTTCCGTGCTGAATTAAATTGCTCCATTCATCCACCCACAAAAGCTTATTTTTTCTAGTTTAAATAATTTTACATCAAGCATGACGAGAGCATTTTTCTAGTGTTTGCCAAAAATATTTTTTCAAGCAATAATAAAGGTCAATAAATAGGAATTTGCTAATAGCGGCATTTTATCACAGTTCAAAACTTCGCATGCTATTAAAATAATAAAAAATCATTCATTGAATTCCAAATGGAAAAGAATCGCATGAGTCATCAAGTGCCTGCCTTCATCATCATCATCACTTGTTCAAATTTGTATTTTGTATGCTGCTTTACGTAATGTATTTTAAAATAAAACTGGAACCAATTCCTCTTCTTGTTGTAACATTCTCATTACTCTTTAGTTCTCTGTTTCTGCCTTCAATGGCTTGGTATTATTTTTTTTTGGTGTGTTCTTTTCGACATATTCAAAGAACAATGAGCTTAACTTATTTGCAATGAAGTTCGGTATGTCTATCCTTGGAAATTTTGCAAACTTTTGAATGGACAATTTAATTTCATTTATCTATGGACATTTATTATACAAATTAGTCAGCTATTGTCAACCATTGTTGGACATCTCAATGAGAATGTTTGTGAAAAATGCGCTCTTTATTACGGAGAGGTAAATCCAACATTTCGAGAACTTAATTTTTGATTCTTGTTCGATTATTCATGCACGATAGCTTCTTTGTATTTGTGTATTACACTTTTGACTCTGAACCTTATAAAAGTGGATGAAGAAATTTGATTTTTGGGGAGAGCGCATTTTTGAGGAATATTTGCTAAATTTAAAACTTGAACTTTAACATATTTTGGGTGTTAAAATTTTAATGTTTAAATAATTAAGATTTTGTAAAATTGTAACGGAATTTTAGAATTTAAAAACCAAGAAACATTTTTTAAAAATCAAAAAAATTGAAAACTATTTAAATTTTGAATGAATTTTTTGTTTTTTACTGGGTGTTTAAAATTAAAAGTTCAAGTTTTGAAGCTCAAATTTAAAAGTTTAAAATTTAAACTTTTAACGGTTTTTTAAATTTCGAATGATTCTTAAATTATGATTTTTGTAAAAATGTAATTTTTCAAGAATTCATCAAACATTTAAAATTTATTTTCTAACGTATTTTGAACTTTTAAATGATTTTTTAAAAGTTTAAAATATTTTAAAATCAAAATGTTAAGTTTTAAATCTTAAAATTTGTGTAAGTTTAACCAATATCTAAATATAAATCTAATAAGTCATTCGAAAGTGAAACTTTTGATTGATTATTAAACGAAAATTTTCAAAATTAAAATGTCAAAAGGTTGAAAAAAATTAGAAAACAGTTTTCAATTTTCTGATAAGATCTCCAAAAAGAATAAAAATAAATTCAATCATCAAAACAGTGAAATTGAAAACTTCATAAAGCTGTAGACACTCACGTAGATTTTCATTTATGAGATTGTAAAGTTCAAGTCAAATTAAATATAATTACAATATCTAACATTTGAAATCATTCCCATCAGTCAAAGAGACCCAAACTGAATAACAATCCAAAGGAAAGAACCAAGCAACAAGCATAAATTTCTCTTTCAACTAAAGCGCAAGTGGTTATTTAATGAATATCTTTCATTTTCATTTAGGCTTATTTTTATTCTTCTTAATATGATATTATTTTTTTTCGCAAAAAAAAAATTGTTGGCTTCTTTGTCTGTTTATAAATTCATTCCATTCACGTTCAATTTTCTTTCCATCTTACTCTCTCCTCCCTGCTTCTTTTGATTGTGTTGCTCTTTAGGCATTTAGCTTATGTATTTATACTTCCATTGAAGTTATTTATAATTATTTTCGCGCAACAAGAATTCTGAATTTTTTTATTATAATCAGAATTTAGGAAGTTCGAGCCGTCATGCTGCTATAGTTTTGCATGAAGTTTCTTTTCTTTTCTTTATTTTTGCGCAGAGGATTTTTTATTTTGAATAAACTTTCTTATTTGGGTTAAAAAGCTAAACTTCTTTTGTGGAATAACAGTTTTTTTTATGGAACTCCTGCGATATTTCCGTTAGAGCTGACAACAAGTCTCAACTTTTTTGATAAGACTGATTGAAAAATAATCGCATTTCACAGGAGGAAGTCTGGATGATTAAATTTGAATTTCTTTTCAACTTAAAATATTGAAAAAGTAGCAACTAATCTGCCAGTTTGAGGTTCCAAGAGTTTAAATCAAACTGTTGTTCAAAGAAGTTAAAGTTGGCGTTCTTTCAGCTTCGAAGCAGCAAAAAGAAGATTTGTCCAGAATTCTTAAATGGAATTGTTTCTAGAATTGAAGTTCCTCAAGTTTCAAATTTTTTTTCAAAAACACATTTTGAGATGCAGACTTTAAATAACTCAGAAGTAGCGCTAAAGTATGAGATAAACCTGGAGCAGGTTTCTAGATCAAGACTAAAACTATTGATGTTGCACTATGAGTGCGACTTGCTTTGTCGCTGACCACTTTAGTCCCTTAAGTAGATCCAAGAAGTTCTAGAACCAGCCCTAGATTTATATCCGAGCAACTGACTAAAAGATTCAACTTTAAAGAAGTTGATTTGGTTTTAAGTTGCTTATCTAGCCAATGGATTCATTTATTGAGTGTCTCTTAGGTTAAGGAATTTAGCCAAAGTAGCACAAGAAGTAAAAGAGCTATCGTAGACTTAAATAAGATGATACATAAAGTCTCAAACAATAATATTTTATCAGAACTCAAAGGAAGCTCAAGTTTCAAGCAGTTTCAAGCTCTGGATACTAAACCAGGTCAAAATCAGTTATTTTTAAATGTTTACTTGTAATAAATGAAGCACGACTCCTTGTCGTTACTTCCAAAAATAAATTAACTGTTTAAAAACTTTATTTTCAAATTTTCTTTCATTTCAGTACTGCCAGTAGCAATTCAACATTATATGTATCCAGCAGTGTGAGCACAAAAATTCCTCAATTAGCTCAACAATTCAAATTTCCATATCGCATTTGAGATCATAAAAAACAAACAGGAACATTTCGTGGTAATAAAACATAACAAGTAAGTGCGCGAGAGCATGCTTATGCAAACAAATGTGTGAAGTAATAGATTTTTAAGTGCGAAAGGAAACTTTGTCGTTAACTTTTTTTTTCTTTCTTCAAAATTAATGCATAAACTTGAACGCCTTAGAGAATGTCTAACGACTAGCGACTATTGTTATTTCCATATCCAACAACCGATTGTTCAACAAGTCATTACATATGATTGAGTGCTATGAATATGTAATAAAATATTAAAATCGTATTTCACTTACCTTTTTAAAGTAACATTTTTGCTGCCTAATTTAGACATTTTAATAATTTTCTTACTATCACCATTATTGTTGCTAGTTTCATCATTAACATTATTATTCACAGTATTTTCAGATGTAGCCACAGAATCACTATGCTCTGTGTCTGTTTCCTTTTCATCTGCACTTCTCGTTTCATTTGATAAGGAATCACTGTTTTTGATTATTGCATTAACATTATTACTATTATTGAAATTATGATTATTATTTATATTATTTATATTATTGTTATCATTACTCGTGCTATTACCGTTTATTAAATTATTATTACATAAACTTATGTTCATATTGTAATTAATTTTACTGTTGCCATTTTTTATAAGATTTCCATTACGATTTGATGTGTAGTTTGTGGCTATATAGTTGTCAGCTGCTTCGGCACTCAACAATTTCGTATTCTCATCAACATCATCATGCTCGTGATGATCATGATCTAAATCTGATGGTGTTGTATGTAGTTTTGTACTTGTTGTGTTTTGAAGATTTAAATTTAAATTTATGTTGCGAGAAGTTTGTGATTTTTCCTCGACAGGCAACATGTATGACAACATTTTGATGTCTTCCTTTGCTCTTTTTTTCCCCCTTCTGTGTTTTACTTGTCACTTTATTCACTGATTGTTTTTGTGTCTTACTTTTTTTGTGAATGAAACAACTTTCTTTACTCACAAATTCCACGGCATTTTTAAAGAGAGCATAAAGGAACACAAAATTAATTTGACGAAATTCTCTTTTTTCTGAATTTATTACAAACTCTCTTTTTCCTTTAGTTTGAAATAATTTTGGCCTACTGACAATGTAATTTATTAACGTTGATTGATGTCTTTCAAATGATACATTCACTCAATAGCCTGCAAAATATGAGAAAAAAAAAATTTCATTAATGAATGGGAAAGAAAATTGATTAGATAATATTGTAAGTTTATTTGTTTCTACTTTAGTAATTGTTTCTTGTGTCGTTGATCGAAAAAGTGAAAAGTTTGTCAAAAATTCAGCTTATATGCTTTTGTTGTAGACATTGATCCCTAGTTTATGGGAAAAATAAGTTTTTCCCCCGGAAGTGCCTGGTCCACGAGAAAAGAGGGTTTGAATTTTTGTACTTCACGTAATTTTTAAAATGCTATTGTGCTTCACCTCCTTATCCGTTTGTCTTCAAACTTTTTTTATTTGATAGATACAAGTGAGAACTTTTTTATGAATATCCACATGATATACTTTTTGTGCATATTGGTTCCTAAAAGTTGAAAAAAGTTCGAAAAAACTAGGTTTTTTGTCATTTTCTGGACCTCATGACTATATTAGGCTTTTTAAATATATTTAGATTGCAGTATTTTGTAGATCTCATTTATATCTACAAACATTACATGCAAAATCTACAGATTTTATGTATTTTGAGTAGTGAAAATTAACTTTGAAGTCAAAAATTTTCATATTTTTTGCTATATTCTCAATTGTGATCCACTGTCCATGTCCGGCTCCCAAATTTCATTTCATTAATTTGTAGACCCTAGTTGCTCTATCAATTAATGCAATAAGAAAAAAGAATCACTTGTGGGAAAGCTTCAAAATATGAGCCTGAAGTTGGTCTAGTGAGATATCTCAAAATTCAAAATGAATTTTCTCATACCAGTCTTAATGAAAGGAACTGAATTTTCAGGTTTTATTCAACAATATTCTAACAATACCAAAATTATTGCATATTCTCAAGATTTACAATAGTTCTAAGCAAAAATGTCAAGCATAGGTTTCCAGATTCGGTAAAATTTGATACATTTTTTAAAACGTTGATGATATTTACTAGAAATTACATATTTATGTGATTTATTATATACCATTGGAATGCTTTTTAAATGAACTTTATGAAAATTGCAGAAATGTTTTGATTTTAACTAGTTAAAGTAGCTTTATTGAGCATTTAATGGTTTCATAACATCATATATCACTTTTTACCTAAATTTTCAACAAAATTGTGTTTTTAATTAAAAACTTTTGTTGTGAATGTTAAGTACATTGCTTTTTGAATAAAACCTGAAAATTTCAGTTCTTTAAATTAAGACTGGTATGAGAAAATTCATTTTGAATTTTGAGATATCTCACTAGACCAACTTCAGGCTCATATTTTGAATCTTTCCCGCAAGTGATTCTTTTTTCTTATTGCATTAATTGATAGAGCATACTAGGGTCTACAAATTAATGAAATAAAATTTGGGAGCCGGACATGGACAGTGGATCACAATTGAGAATATAGCAAAAAATATGCAAATTTTTGACTTCAAAGTTAATTTTCACTACTCAAAATACATAAAATCTGTAGATTATGCATGTGATGTTTGTAGATATAAATGAGATCTACAAAATACTGCAATCTTAAAATATTTAGAAAGCCTGATATAGTCATGAGGTCCAAAAAATGACAAAAAACCTAGTTTTTTCGAACTTTTTTCAACTTTTAGGAACCAATATGCACAAAAAGTATATCATGTGGATATTCATAAAAAAGTTCTCACTTGTATCTATCAAATAAAAAAAGTTTGAAGACAAACGGATAAGGAGGTGAAGCACAATAGCATTTTAAAAATTACGTGAAGTACAAAAATTCAAACCCTCTTTTCTCGTGGACCAGGCACTTCCGGGAGAAAAAATTATTTTTCCCATAAACTAGGGATCAATGTCTACAACATAAGCATAAAGGCTGAATTTTTGACAAACTTTTCACTTTTTCGATCAACGTGGGACCTTTGGCAAGCTTTGTCAGACTTTGAACACAATTTGTATAGAAATGATTTGAAAAACCGTTACAACTTCAAATTTTACTGTCATTTGAATTTTAAGCACTTCAAATATTTGAATTTTAAAAAGTCGTTCAATTATTCTCAAAAATAATCCCAATTTTTTTCATTTCAGTAAACTTTGAATATCGATTTTACCCAAAATTTTCTCATTTTCATTCCAAATCTCGACAAGTTCAGTCAATTTTTATATTTCGCTCGTAAATTATTTTAAAGTTTCAAAATATCAAGCATGAATTCATCGACAAGACGTAACGAAAGCATATATGATAGCATGGAGCCTCTTCATAATTCAACAATGAGACCATCTTCAAGAGCAAGAAGAACTGCAAGAAACAATACAACAATGTCAACTGCCAGAAATCAATATGCAAATGCTACTGTCATGAATAACAACGACATGATCTGCATGTGCTTTAAATCTCCACCAGTAATCATGAAAAAAATGCCATCAAGAAATAACGACTGCAATTGTACTTGCCATATGGATCGCATGGGTAACAATTTGGACACAAGTGGCATAGAAAGATTGAACAAAGAAGCTACATTTAATATGAGTAGAAGTAGACAGGGAAACAAGTCTAGCTTGCAGGAACTTGAAGAAACAATGAAAAACATGTCAAATGATTTTGATGAGACAATTTTGGAAGTTCAAGATGATCCCAGCAATGTCACTCCATTAGGTAAATTTTATCGTGCTAATTCCTTCAGATAATTTTTTTTCTATTCTTTGTGGGTTCTTGTTTTCAAATAAATTCTTGACTTTATTATTTTTTATGTAAGTAATGTTTTCTCAATAATTTTAAATTTTGAAAAACCGTTAAAAATTTGAATTTTACAAAACCAAAAATATAAATTTTACAATACTGTTAATATTTGAATCTAACAAAACCGTTAAATCTTCAATACTGCTATAGTTCCATTATTTCTCATTGAATGTGTTGAAAACTCAAACAAAATTTCCCTAAGGAGCTTACATCTCTCTCGTGTCTGTTCTTTAATTTCGTACAAAGCCGCTCAATGTGGAATTACATGATTCATCATTTCTCATTTCATTTTTCGAGGGAGAAATAAAAATTTATCATCAGCTTGACCCAAGGGGTAAGGGCTCCTCAAAAAGTGCAAAAATTTATTGAAAAATGCAATAAAGTGCTTCAAAGTAGAATAAAATTGAGAAAAGTGCAAAGTAGAATGAAGTAGAGTAAAGTGCAATGAAGTGCAGCAAAGTTGAGCAAAGTGCAATGAATTGCAACAAAGTGCAATAAAGTGCTGTAAGTGCAGTAAAGTACTAAAGGTGCAGGCATAGTAGACCAAAGTGCAGCCTTTTTTAAATTTTTTTTTATAGTTTTAATACTTGATTTATAAAACTTTTTGGGCCTAAAATCTGAAAATATATAATAAACAATTTATGTTTTGAACAGTTTTGAGTCTTTATAAGTTTTTTCTTTGAAAATGTTGAGCATTAAATTTGTATTAATATCATTAGTTCTCATCTAGTTTTATAATTTTAAATTTAGGATAGTACTGCACTTTCAATGCACACGATGTTTTTTGCTTTATTTCCTATGAAATTTTTCGCATATTACAAACCTTTTTTACGCTTTGTCATTGTAAACTGTAGATCGCAGCAGTTTTGTTGAGTTTTAAAGTGTATTACTAAACTCCGTTTTAAGATAATTTACTTCATTACTTTTTTTGAGAAATTTGTAAGCTCAGTCTTGAAAACAAAAATTTAAATATGATTGACCAGATCTAAATTTTATGGAACCCAATATACTGAAGCAATGGCTGTTCCTGCCATTGCCAAAAACTAATCAGTTCTTTTATAGTGCAACACGAATCGATTGCAAAATTCGATTGTTTGCTTGCTTACAGAAAATGAATTTTGCGATTTTCTCAACAATGCCTTAATCAATTTCAATTCTGATTTTTGTAAAACTGAAGGCACACACTTTTTGATGCAGATCTTGATTTATCTTTGAAAATGCATTTTTTTCTCAAAAATCATATCAAAAATGTGAAAGTCTTCTAATATTGCATTTATTTCGACATTTTTCTTATGTTTTAAGATATTCATTACTAATTGAATTAAAGTAGGTTTTTAACAATTTTAGCATTTTTAATGCTTTACAAATTTAAATTTTGGATTTTTGAAGTTTTGCAATATTTTTAAAGACAAATTTATAATAACCAGTCATGTTTAATGGCTCTTTTCTTTTGAAAAATTGATATAAATTGATATAATAATTTGTGCAAAAAAGCACTGCAAAGTGCAATAAAGTTAGCCAAATTGCAATGAAATGCAATGAGTAGAGAGGAGCCCTCACCCCTTGGCTTGACCCTTAAGTCTTATCGTGCACAGAACGAACATACATAAAACGCCAAAGATTTTGAATCGTAAATACAGTTTATTGATTAGTGAGGAAAATCTTAAATTTATTACATATAGGGAAATTAATTGTTTATAGCTTCTTTTTCTTTAGCCTTTCTACTTTTTGGCGCGTTTTCAATGTCGGAAAATTATTTTTTTTCTCGATTTAGCAAATTGCTACTAAATAAGTTATTAGTAATTACTAGTCATTGGACAATAAAACGCATTTTTCTCGGTCATAAAGTGCTTCATAAATTAAATTTATTGAGGCTGAGTTGTTTTGGTCAGCGATGAAGGAATGGCACGTGATTTTATAAAGTTTCGCAGTTATAGTTGTAGATTTGTGACTTTAGTCTAAGGTTTCGTGAAAGGTCAATGAAATAATCAACTTCAGTGCCAAAAATTCTTAAATACCAGAACAATTCAAGTCCAGTATTTAAATTTTGTCTAGATTCCTGCTTGCTTGATAATAAAAGCAATGACGATGACGCACTTGGCATTGAACTTATTTGCAGCTATTTCCTTTCATCTACACCGAACAAAACGTAAACACATCAGTCACAACAAATTTCACATGCAAATTTACAGTAAACAGAGCTACTTTCTATTGGGGGTTGTTTATAAATGATGTCCTAATAAAATTGTGTTTTTAGACCCCGTCTACACCTTGTCACATTATATGATCTTGTTTAAAGTGTCAGAAAGTCTAAGAACCCTTAATAGGAGACGTCATAAGTGAATAGCCCCTTATTCATCACAATAGCGCTGAGATAATTCTCACAAAATGTCATTCATCAGTTATCAGTGGCACCAAGATATACACATGCATCTGCTTGGTGAAAGAAATACTTTTTCTAAACGTCTAAGTTATTTTAAAATTCGTCAGCAGATATCCTTTCGCTCATGACACATATGTTATTGTTAGGAACAAGAGGGAAAAAGCAATTTCGTTGATTTTGCAATTTATGGCAAAAATTGAATGTTGTGAAAAATCTGATTTTGCAGCCTTGACAGAAATTGGTCATGATAATCTTGTGGAAAATGTATGAAGATTGCATGCTTTGATTTGATGTGGATGATAGAATGAGGGAGTTATTGTTTCTGGTTAATTGAATGTTGTGATAAGGAATGATTTTCAACTTTAGATTTTTTGGGACGTAGGGGAGAAACAACCGAAGAGAATTTGATGGAAACTTAAGTTGATTTTGCCCTGTTTCATGCTTGATATGAAATTTTTGCAATCAATCCTTTTTTTGGTACAATTTGCTTTGTTTTTGAGGATATTGTCTTACTGGATCAGGGAAAAAGGATTCCATAGTGAACTTTTAAGAGTCTATGAAGAGTTAAATTAGAAGAATCTGCTGTAATCAAAGTTTATTCTAAGGTTTTCAAGCATTTTAAGATTAAGTCTACATTAAGTCAATAAATCCCAAGTTTTTCAACCCAGAGACCATCAAATCAGCAAAAAACCTCATCATCATAAGCTTGTATCCAAGCAATTCCTTTAAAAGCAGTCACTCAACTAGAAAAATTTCAATTCTCTTTGTAGATTGATCTTCAATTAAAAAGTAAATTAAAAACACAGCCTTAATTGTTTAATTAAATCGTCAAAAAGATTAATGGATAGATATGAGCACAGAGCACAGAGGGAGCAGAAAAAATTGTTGTTTAACTAAGAAATTTATTAGAGCATAAAAATAGATGAAAACGTATTAAAAATGACTTGTTATTTCCAATTGTCAATTTGCGGAATGAGAGAATCTGCCCAGCTACACCTTATCGCATAGTTGATTGTTCAATTTATTGTCCTCTGCAATAATGATTGTATAACTAATCAACGGAGGGACATAAAGCATCAACCCACTTTAATTACTTCAACGGAACTAGATGAAGAAGATAAATCTCAATTGAACGAGAAGCGAAATCAATTCGGACGAAAAAAGAAACTGTCGAAGAAATTTCTCATCTCTCGTCAGTCTTATTGTTATTGTCAAGTTGTCAAATGTAGCATACACTAAATTGTGATGTCGACAAGCATAAAACAAATCTAAATGTCAAATGTGGCCTTCTTTTTGTTCCTTTTTTTGCTAATTGAAGAGTTGAGAATGCTTTCGGGAGGTTCACAGTTTGAGATCAAATCACTTCTGAACTTATCAGTGTGAACACGAAAATGTTTGATTTTATGAGGATTCTGTCAGTTTAATGTAACCCTTTCGCAGCAGTAAATGAGATTGTAAGGGTTTCAAAAAGGATCATATTCGGTTGATCTTTTGGGTAGATTGATTGTAAGGCTGTGATTAAGAAGAAGTTTAAATTGATGGAATTGAGTTTTGTTTGAGAAAATCTGTTAAATAAGCTATTAAAGTCTATTTTGTTTCTGTTTCTGTATTTAAAATGTGTTTTTCACTCAATTTTTCGCACATCTGGAATTGCACTTTAGCACAGCCATTTTCTTGTTATTCTCTTTTTTTCTTGGAAATCCCAATTTTTTCTTCTGTTTATTGGCAGAAACTGTATATTTTGGATTTACTTTAAACAAACTTGATTTATTTATTTTTTTTATATTCTGAGTTTTTGTTTTTGCTCGTTATTGCTTTAAGAACCAGAACTTTCTGTGACACATATTCACAATTCTTGCTAAGTATCGATGAGCGCGTATGGACCTTAAGCTTATTATTCGACCTGGCAGTCGATAGTTCATAGCGAAGCAACCATTAAAGGATCAACGAGCCAACAGGTAACTTTTTGAAACTGAAGCAATGAACTTCATAAAGTAATAGAATGAGCCACAACTGACTTAAGATTGATCAATTCACAGCAACAGCCATTTTAAGGTGGATGCCATTGCCAAGTAGCTAAGACACAAGATTAAGTAGATCTTTCTAGTTTTGATAATCCTCAGAATTCAAAACCCAGATTCCAACTCTTTTAAACAAGCTTCATTCAATCCAATGAGTTTAAAATCATTTAAAAATGTAAATATTGACAAAGTAAATTGTTCACATTATTGACTTAGTATTTAATGCATTCAAATGGATATCAAGACTCAAATTCTATTCAAAAGACGTAGGTTCCATTTATATCCTGAGGTCGAATTCATTGACATTTAAATGCACTGAAAAAGTAATAAGATATTTTCATCTCCATCAGTACAAAATGGCAATTAATATCAATCTACACAATACAGTTGCTAATTGAACATTAGAAAGGACATTGAAAAATCGCAAAGTATCGTCCTACAAAATTAAAAAAAAACAACTGTAACACCGCCCAAACATCTTCATAAAAAAGCAATCAAGCATGTAATGAAGCATCAATCTGCCATGATTTGAATTGAGCATAAATTGAATCACTTTCTAAACATTCACAGATTTTTGAATGTTATGCCACTCCATTAAACTCAAAGTGCTCATCTTCAAAAGAAAGAAATAAGAAAAATGATTCCCATAATAGGTTAAATTCCTCAAAAATTG